TCGCGGCTTTCTCTCGGCAGGCTGGTCAAGCAACTCAGGGCAGCATCTTCGGTCCCAGAGCCAGCCAAAGGCCATGCGCTATACATGAAGCACCTGGAACGGGCGATCTTCTCACTGGCAGTTCAGTTCGACAGCTTGGGCAACCCGATGTTCAACGGCACCAAGATGGATACGATAGTCCACGAGGTCAGGAGCGGCTCCATGGAAGGGCTGCAGGTGATGAAGGCCATCGCCATGGTCACTGACAAGCACGTCAAGGGCGATGCGTCTGCAGCTAGGACCCGCTGGAAGGAGTTCGTGGACGAGTCGCTGGCGGGAGGAGGCCGTGGAGCTCATGCTATTAGCAAGAAGGTCCACGGCGAGGCGAAGCCGATCTTGGCGGACGGCAGCGGCGACTCGCCCCCCGTGCCACTGGTGGGCCAAGCGGCATTGGATCAGATGCTGGTGGAATGGAAGGCCCTGTGGAGCTGCGGGGCCGGCCAGCAGATGAGGCCTGCTGACTGGCTCACCACGTCGGACCTGCCCCCGATCACGGCGGAGCAGGTGATAGCGTCGGCGAAGACTTTCGCGAAGAAGACGGCGCTCGGTTGGGACGGCTTCCACCCCAGGCTGCTGAAGATGCCAGGATGGCCTTTTGCGCAGCGCATGGCGGACGTGCTGACGCAATGGGAAAGGCACCCGCAGCCGACGGCGATGTTCACAACGCTCATCGTCTTCTTGGGCAAGCCTGGGGGAGGACATCGCCCCATCGGCCTGATGTGCTTTTGGCTCAGAGTCTGGGGAAGGATTCGCAGGCAGTATTGTTTACAATGGGAGCGTGACCACCGCCTTCCTGAGATTTGGGGCAGCAGCTCTGACACCTGCTGCGATAGAGCAGCGTACTTGCACAACCTGTACCTAGGCCTCGCTCGGAAGGTCGGCTTCGAAGGTGTCTCGGTGTACTTTGACATTAGCAAGTTCTACGAGCGGATCGACCACGGGCTGCTTCTGAACGCGGCCGAGCTGAATGGTTTCTGCACAGGATTGGTACGTGCGCTCTGTGTGGCGTACTCGGGTCCGAGGCGAGCGACGGCAGACAGCGCCGGCAGCGAGGAGATACATGCGAGGGGCACGGTCATTGCTGGCTGCTCGTGTGCAACAACGATGGCCAGACTCATGCTGATGGACCTTCTGGTCAAGAGCCGAGCCAATCTCCCCATCGGGAGGATCGTCAACGTGATCGACGACATCTCGGGCAATGGTATCGGATCCAGAGGTGTGCTAGTCAGTCAGGTAAACAGCTTCGTCCAGGGCGTCGTGGCGATGCTGAGAGACAAGCGGCTCCCGATCAACTGGGGCAAGACGAAGGTGCTGGCATCCTCAGTGGACACCCAGCGCGAGCTGATGAAGCAGGAGGGGTGGCCGCTGGACAGGGCCGCCTTTGCTCAAGGACACCGAGATCTCGGTGGCGACGCGACGGCTGGTGGTCACCGTATGGTGGCGACGCAGGTCAAGCGGGAGCTGGATGCACTTCGTCAGACAGCGAGACTGACACGCATCTTCGGGCCTGGGCTGCGGCAAGCTCGGGTGATGCGAGCTGGGCCGACCGCCAAGGCGCTCTGGGGCTCGGCCATCTCTGGAGTCCCACCTGGGCGCATGAGGGCGCTGAGGGTGGCAGCTGCGAAGAGCGCGGGTCGCCTGCCGCCTGGAGCGGCCCTCAGCTTTGCCCTGCAGTGTGCGCCCCGTGGCTGGCGGCAGGACCCGCTGGTGGTCGCAGCGGGAATGGCAGTTCAGGCTTTCGTCAACGTGGTGTGGTCTGGGCAAGCCTCTGCAGCAGCCATCCAAGCGTGCATCCATGAAAGCCAGCAGGTGCTAAGCAAGCAGCGGCCTTGGAGCTCGGTCCGTCAGCCGATAGCGGCGCTCGCGCTCACCCTGCAGAGGATAGGCTGGCAGCTCGCCGTCGACGGCACCAAGCTGCTGGACGAGGACAATAGGGAGTTCGAGGTGCGGCATTTCTCGCCCGCCTTCCTGGCGGGGTGGGCCAGAGAGGCCACGAGGAAAGCGGCCGCGCTGGGGGAGGCTCGAGATCGTCCTGGATCGCTCTGGCCATGGAAGCTGTCGCCACAGTGGAGGCCAGTCAACGAGCTGCTCGGCAAGAAGGAGACGGAGACCTGGACTGGGCACCACAAAGGGTGCCTCCGCTGGCTCGTCTCGCTCTCGCACTGGCCCCAGGACCGTCTTGCGAGGCATTCCTCGGGCATCGACCCGATCTGCAAGCTATGCCAGGCTGCACGAGGAACGATGTTCCACAGGCACCACGTCTGCCCAGCTTGGGAACCTTGGCGGCGCGGCAGGCTGCCGTCCGACCTGAAGCGTGCAGCTTGGTTAGTCCACGAGATGGGCCCGCCGTTCGATGAGCTGTTCTGCCAGGGCCTGTTCGTGGATCCCTCCCAGCTGTTGCACCGCCCGTGCTGGCAGCCTCAATGGGAGCGGCTCTCGCATGGTTGGAATGAAGCAGTGGTGGTCGAAGACGGTGCCATGGCTTTCACCGACGGCTCCTGTATCCTCGGTGACTTTCCGCGCCTGCGCAGCGCTGGCTGGTCGGTAGTCGTTCTGTCCAAGGAAGGGGCGATCCTAGCAGAGGCGTGGGGAGCTGTTCCCCCTAGTCTATGCGGCGGCCTCGGCGAGCGCCTCGGCGGCCGTGGGCGCGGCGGCGGTGCAGCCCGCGGTGCGCGCGGGCTTGCAGGAGCTCTTAGTGCCCGACCTGGAGGGCGTCCTCCGCGCGCACGGCTTCGCGTCGGCGGGCGACGCCCGCGCCCGAGGGCGAGAGGCAGCCCAGGCGCGCGGGGAGCGGGGCCGCGCGCTGGAGCGCGGCGAGGAGGCCCCGCGAGCGGCGAGGAGGCGGGGCCGACGCTGGTGAGCGCCCCCCTCGGCCGCCGTGGGGCCCTCGGCAGTCCCGCGCCGTTTGCGCGGGCCTGCGGCCCGCTGAGAATGTGTGGCATGACCACGCGGGGGTGCCCGCTCGAAGAGTAAAAAATGCCCTCACCGTATTTTCCCCCTCGCACGGCCTTTCCAAGGTTCGATGGCAGGACTGTGCGGAGAGGGGGTGCCCAGGTGCGCCTGCGCGGTGCGGCAGGTTCGCGCCCCCTCGACGCGCGACGACGCTGGAGCAGGCGTTCGGACGGCTCAATCGCAGGTTTGTGCCGAAGGAGTGGCCGCGTGCACCTGCGCGATGCGGTAGGTTCGCGCCTCCTCGACGCGCCAGCGACGCTGGCGCAGGGCTTCAGGGTTGAGCATATTCAGGGGGCCCGCTGCTGGCTCCAGGGCTAGCAGAAGGCAGCACAGGGCGCGAGGCCCGCACCAGCGATGGGGTCGACCTTCTCTGAGGGCCTCCGAGAGGGGATGTCGTTCAAGTGACACAAGGTCCTTTCCTCCTCCCCATCCAACTTTGCCTCCTCCTCCTCCTCCTCATCATCACCATCACCATCGTCGTCGTCGTCATCATCATCATCATCATCACCATCATCGTCATCACCATCACCACCACTATCTTCATCATCATCATCATCATCATCAGCATCATCACCATCATCATCAGCATCAGCATCAGCATCAGCATCAGCATACGCATCATCATCATCACCATCATCATCATCACCACCATCATCATCATGATCATCATCATCACCATCATCATCATCATCATCAGCATCATCAGCATCATCATCAACATCATCAGCAGCATCATCAACATCCTTTTTCATCGCTGACACCACCAGACCTCTCCAGGAGGCCCTGGGGCGACCTCGGCCTTGGAGCCTGCGTTGAAAGAGGGGGGAGCAGCTGGGAAGAGCCTCCTCCTCCTCCTCCTCCTCCTACTCCCTCTCTCCTCCTCCTCCTCCTGCTCTGCTGCTGCCTCCTCTCCTCCTCCTGCTCCTCCTCCTCCTCCTCCTCCTCCTCCCTCTCCTCTCCTCCTCCTCCCCCTCCCCTCCCCCTCCTCCTCCTCTCCTCTCCTCCTCCTCCTTCTCCTCCTCCTCATCCTCCTCCTCCTCCTCCTCTCCTCCTCCTCCTCCTCCTCCTCCTCTCCTCCTCCTTCCTCCTCCTCCTCCTCCTCCCCCCCCTCCTCATCCTCCTCCTCCTCCCCCCCCTCCTCCTCCTCCTCCTCCTCCTCCTCCTTATCCGCTGCTCCTGACGAGAGGGGTGCTGACTGCCTTCCCCTCGGTGGCCCTCAGGCGGCTCCTTGGAGGAATGGCTAAGCCTGCACGATCGTCGAGCAGCGGGAGCAAGACCCCTGACCCTGCCCCCGCACGCTCGGCCTGCTCTGGCCCACTGGCCCACCCTGCCGGCTGCGTGCAAGAGTGCCTTCCCCCAGGACTGGTCTGCGCGCTGGGACTTGCCCCCCTCGCGGCCCCCCGAGGCCGCGCATTCAAGGCCACCTCTGCCTGTGGCCACTCCTGTATGCAGCCGACCCCGGGAGGCGATCGCGCCGGCCGCCGCGGCGGCCGGCTCCTGCGAGCTGCGGCGCTGCGGGGCCCAAGAACATACACCACCACCATCGCCTCCATTCCCTCTCCCTCCTCTGCCCTCCTCTTCCCCTCCTCTTTCCTGGGGGGGAGGGGGTGCGGCAGGCGCTGCTGGTGGTGGTGGTGGTGCCGAGTTCTGGGCCCCGCAGGCCAGCTCCGCCCGCGGCCGCCGCCGCCGCCGCCGCCGCCGCGGCCCCCTGGCGCGGCCGCCGCCGCGCCGCCCGCCGCGCGGCGGCCGGACGGGCCTTCGGCACGGCCGTTCCCTCGCCCGCGGGCACGGCCACGGCGGCCACCGCGGCCGCGCCCGGCGGCAGCTGCAGCCGCGGTGCTCGGGGCTCGCGTGACGGGGGTCAGCGCCAACGGGGCTCGGCGCCCCTCCCCTCCCAGAGCCGAGCCCGTGCCCCCCCCCATGGGAGCCACTTCGGGGCCCGCCGGGCTGCACGACAAGGCCCTGGCCGATCCGGGCTCGGGCTGGCCCGGGGTTTGTGCGCCCCCGAGGTGCCGCCGCCGCCGCGGCGGCCTTCGTGGCCTGCCGCAGCGGCCGCGGCCGCGGCCGCGCCGCCCACTGCTCAGCCGCCGCGGTGCAGGAGCGGGTGCGGCAGGATCTGGGCCTCCCAGATGGGGTTGGAGCAGATGGGGTCGGAGGACAATGCGGCTCGGTGCGGAGCACGAATTTCTCCGCGTCGACGTCGCCAACGCATCGCCGACGTCGCGGATGCATCACCAACGCATCGGCGATACATCGGCGATGCCGTGCAATCCTCCGACCCCGTCAGTATGGAAACTGCATGGGGGCCTCTGCAGGAGCGGGCCAGGCAGTACCACCTGCTCCTCCTGAACGATCCGGTCAACAAGCGAGAGTACGTGTCGAGGTGCTTGATGCTGGTCTGCTCTCTGGCCGAGAGGGATGCCTACAGGACGATGATGACCGCTCACACCGAAGGCTCAGCCGTCGTTGGCACCTACAGCTTCGAACTGGCAGATCTGTATTGTGGTTCTCTAAAGGAGAAGAACATCAGTGCCGACATAATCCCAGTCGACGACGGGGATTGAGAATTGGGGTGTTTTTGGTACCTTGAGCTCTTGGTTTGCTAGGCCAATGTGCGGGCGGCTTTTCGCTTTGCAGCTGCTACATGTCGCTGCGTCATACGGCGCTGGTCCACTTTCCTCGCTGGTCGTCTCTCTCGTGGTCTCGCACTTCGTCGGCTTTAGCCTTAATCACTTTTGCCATCTGCCCGCTGTGGTGGATGTGCCACTCCTTCGAGCACAACAGACACCAACCCCGCCACAAGCTAGCTTCAGTCTCGTGCTATATCGTACGAAGGAATCTGATTACGTGTGTTTTGACCCGCTCGAGAGAGAGAGAGAGAGAGACATATATTTTACCATCATTTAATATGTCATGTGCATGTAACTGTGTGTATTCATGCTCATATTTATATATATATATATGTATATGCAAGACAAATGTGCGTATCTCTCTCTGTATATATATATATATATGTGCGTGTGTGGATCTATGCATATATCCTCTGTTTGAGCTACGTCTTCAGTCGGATTGGGTCCGTGTTGCCACGAGATGGGGACCAGTACCCGATGAGTACTAGCACATCGCCTGCATAGCTGGTTCGTCTCGGGCTCATACTCAGGCCAAAAGAGTCGTCTAGATTTCCCAATTCTAATCACTCTTACGACGATCTTCATCTCCATCCTGATCTCGTCGGTGGTCCGGCGAGTCCGTCTTGGCCGCTCAGCTGACTGGCTCAGCACTTACAGCTGTCATCTCAGGTTCGTAGCTCATCGAGTGCGTTGCTGTCTCGTTGCTGACTCGGAGCTCGGTCTTGGGAAACGGTCTCAGCCAGAAAACGGCATACACCCCAAAGATAGGCGCCATAATCGGCCGTATCCCCTGACGAAGCATAAAAGGGGGGCTACCAGGCCAGAAAAGGCGCTCCCCGTGACACCTGGATGCATGAGTGGACGGCACGACAGGCGTACGCACGCTGGTTGTGCCTGTGATGCGAGCACGTCGTAATGGAACTGTCCAGCGTTCGAGGCAAAGGCTGAGGCCAAGGCGGCCAACTCATCGAAGGACTTGTCGGCGGCGAGCGAGGGGGGGAAATGAGAAGGAGAAGGCCTTCTCAGAAGGCGGCGGGACTTCTCAGAAGCCCTCGCGACTTCTGAGAAGTTATTTTTGTTTTCGGGGAAGGCTTAGAACACTTTTCAGAAGGCCAGGGGACTTCCGGACCTTCTGAGAAGGCCTTCTCCTTCTCACTTCCCCCCTTGCTCGCTGCCGAATTCGCACTCGTCCCCGTCCTCCTCCGTCCTGAGATCTCATGCCGCTCCTGGTGTCTGCAGTGCCCAGGAGCGCGCGGGGAGGCGTGCCTGCCTCGCCCTGGCTCGCATGTCTCTGAGGCCTCCCACCTGTTGCCCCCTCCTCGACCCGAGGAGAGGGGGCATGTCCCGTTCGGCTCTGAGCCGCTGGCATCCAATCTGCCAGGCTCTGACCACAGCGAGCGAAGAGAACGGTATAACACAAACTTTTTCGCTGTCCGGGGGCGCCTGTCCCTGGGCGGCTGGGAAGTTTGTACCCCTGCGGTGCCGCCGTAGGGGGTATAAACTTTCCAGCCGCCCAGGGACAGGCGCCCCCGGACAGCGAAAAAGTTTATGTTATACCGTTCTTCGCCCGTTAGTGACCACCAATCTGCGTGCTCCCGCTCCGCTTCGCCACGTGGTGCGGCGCCCTCGCTGCCGGGAGCGGGAGCGGCGACGGCGCTCGGCGGGCGCCGCCGCCGGCTACAGGCCGGCACAGACCTCTTCCGACCAGCGCCGAGACCGCCCGCGGGCCAGAAAGTGCCAAGGTCGCAGAAATCAGGGGCATAACAAGACGCCCCTACCCTGGTTTGCGAGGCGCTGTGCGCTGAAACTCCTGTGGGCTGACGGGGTGAAGCCTGCGTGACGTGCCGCGTCCTGGCGGCTCTAGGCTTTGGGGGGTCCCAGGAGGTTTGCAGACCACGCACTTGTAGCCCAGGGAAGGGTCGTCTTTCATCCCTCAAAGAACTGTTTGCCCAGCATGGACCACAAGCCGTGGGTCGTACAGTCGGGGCCCTGAAGAAGGAACCCTTTTGGTTGGGGAGGGGCTCCGCGTTCCTTAAGTGTTTCACAGCTTGTCTCAGGTTTTCCTTTGGTTTCCGAAGGGAAATCGAAGTTCAACTTCTGGAGAAAAGGGGCCTCGTTCCTTATTTAGGGTTCCTGACCAGAAAGTGCCAAGGTCGTAGAAATCAAGGGCATAAAACACGCCCCTACCCTGGTTTGCGAGGCGCTGTGCGCTGAAACTCCTGTGGGCTGACGGGGTAAACCCTGCGTGACGTGCCGCGTCCTGGCGGCTCTAGGCTTTGGGGGTTCCCAGGAGGTTTGCAGACCACGCACTTGTAACCCAGGGTAGGGTCGTTTTTTCATCCCTCAAAGAACTGTTTGCCCAGCATGGACCACAAGCTGTGGGTCGTACAGCCAGGGCCCTGCAGAAGGAACCCTTTTGGTTGGGGAGGGGCTCCGCGTTACTTGAGTGTTTCGCAGCTTGCCCTTGGTTTTTCCTTTGGTTTCCGAAGGGAAATCGAAGTTCAACTTCTGGAGAAAAGGGGCCTCGTTCCTTATTTAGGGTTCCTTAGGTCAACGCCCCGACTGTAGAAGATCACGGCGGGAGATTTTTTTGGCAGTTTCCCGCCTCCATGGGGGCTCTCGGCCCCGTGGCCGTCAGCGAGCGACTGGGGTCGAAGAACCGGTCTCAGGGAAAGGGCCGGGACTGTTGGGGCCCCCGCCGTGCGAGAATCCGCCGGCCTCCTGTGGGTCGCCAGGACTCTGGATATGCAATGTGTTCGCTCGATGCTCGTTTCGGGGACCTTCCTGGAGCCCACCTAACGGATCTGTTCGACCCTAGTTCGGCTCAAGTTCGACTCAAGTTCGACTCAAGTTCGACACAGGTTCGACTCAGGTTCGACTCAGGGTCGACCCAACTCGACTGACGTTCAACGCAGCTTCGACGCACGAGTGGAGCGAGTGGCTCCAGGACGGTCCCCAGAACGAGCGTCCTATGTTCGGCGTCAGCCCAGCATACTTATACTAAATGTGCGTCGCCCCCCCAAGGGCGACGCGCGCACCGAGAAATCTTATAGTGTATGCGTCGTGTCGGTCGCTTTCTGACCACACCGCTCGGGAAACGATATGCTACAAGATGGGTGTACTAGATGTTCGGGTCGGACGCGCGCCTCCAAGGAGGACATATCGTATTAGTATGTCTCTGTGCGTCCCGTGTGTGTGTGTGTGTATGGCGTGGCATGTGGTGCAGCCCGTGCGGTGCGTAGTGTGTGTGTGTGTGGTGCAAGCAGTGCAGTGCGCGCTGTGCGGTGCGCTCTGCTCGGGCCGGGCGAGAGGGGGGGATTGGGAAAGGGGGGATTACGAAATTTGCTGCATGCAGCTGCTCTCGGCCCCACCGAGGGGCCCATTCTTCGATACATGGGCGCCCCCTGGCCTTCGGGAGGCGCCAGGCAAATCGGCTACGGGAGCTGATTCTCCCCCCCCCCCTTGCTATCCCCCTCCTTCCGCCCGACCCGAGAGGTGCGTGGCTCGGTGCACGTCGCGCCAATCTACCGCACGCGGTGCCCACGCTCTGCTCGCGGCCGCCCGCCGGGCGAACCCACCGCGCAGCGGCCCAGCGCACGGAGGCACCCGCGCAGGCGCCCCCGCGGCGGCCCACCGGGGGAAGCCCAGGCACGCCGGCCCCGGTGCACGACGCGCCGACGGGGCGCTCCCGGGCGCCCACAGGGCGAAGCCCCGACCCGCCCACCTGATCACTCAGGGGAAGGCGCTCTGGTGCAAGCATGGTTCGGGCGGAGCGGAGAGGAGGAGGCGGAGGAGGAGGAGGAGGACGGGGGGGAAGACAGGAGACGCCGGTCCGTCTCTCGAGCCAAGACCTGGCCCCGCCTGTCCCTGGGGGTCGTGGTCGTGATGGTTTTGGCCCCGCGGACGTCCAGAAACCGACCGCGTCAGCCAGATCTTCCCGTGCCTGTTTGGCACTTCCCTCGCAGAGGTGGGTCCCCAGGTTGCGAGTTCGTGATAGCTGCGCGGCCTCTGTGGCTTGCTGGTCATTGTCCCGCTCGGGCAGCGCTTTAAGGCGCATCCCTGAGCAGTTTGATCTGACCTGTGTCCCCATTCCCAGACATCCGATCTCACAGCTCGGCCGCTGCCAGCCAGCGCATCCCCGACGACACCCGACCGGGTGCCCCGAGGCCATTCACAAAACGGTGGATGACGCCCAAAGTCGTTACGTCTCGGCGAGTGCTAAGCGCAGCGATATATCAAAGTAAGCAAAAACATCAGGACAAGAAATGCACACGGAACGAACCAAGCGTGTCTGCACCACATCCAATCGTTAGGATGCAACTCTTAGGAGGTGAAATTCTGGATCGGCGCTGGCATGCCCGTGGTCACAAAACAGGCCTAATCCAGCATTGTCCCGCTGAATCTGATTTACTCTCGCTTTGCCCAGCTGAATCCCGTCGAATCCGTCTCAGTCCCCAGCTTAGTCCGACTTGCTCCGACATAGTGGCCTCTTACTCGGGCGGAGTAGCCCGTAATCGTTCTCGCGAAGACCTCCTAGGAGACGCCTCCTTTCAATGGCTCGAGTACTGCAGACACTGGCGTCACCCCGACATACTGATACTGTGTGTGCGTCGCCCCCCAAGGGGCGACGCGCGCATAGTAGCGCCGTGGCGGGCGGGCGCTTTCTGGCCACACCGCTTGGGCAACGAACTGCTGCTAGAGGGGTAAACTATATGTTCGGGTCGGACGCGCGCCTCCAAGGAGGACATATAGAACTAGCATGTCTCTGTGCGTCCCAAGAAAGGGCCCTGGTGGCGCGGGCTCTGCAGGTCTGTCAGCCCCCCCCGCCTCTTCGGACCGCCCGCGGCGCCGACCGGCGCGCGGCGGCCGACTCTGCCCTGGCGGCCCGGCGCTCGCCGTCTGCTGACGCCCCCTCTCGCAAGGCCGCTTCCAGC